AGAAGGATCCTGTGAGACCCTGGTGCTACCTACCCAGAAATGAAGAGTTGGAGGGTCTAGAAAACTAAAGACCCCAAAACAGGCCCCTCTATGGCCTATGGGCTCTGCCAGCCAAACTTGTCCTTGTCTTCTTTTCTCATCGACTTTGGGAGTGCCAGGCCTCTCCCTGGACACAACTGCATGGTGGTGGTGGATGTGAGAGACACTGGTTGAAGGTGGTGCACTGTGGTACGTTGTCCACTTTCCCAACATGCTCCAGGGCCCATCTTAGCCCTTGGCGGGTTTGGGAGAAGAAGAGAGGGAGGGCTGGTGCAGAGAGTGGAAGCCAGGCCCATCGAGGTCCCGGGAGTGAATGCTGCATTGTTGGCCAGGCCAGAGTCACAGATAATTACCTCAATTAGTGACAATGGGAGAGTAATAAATACAGGCTTAGTGTCTCCTACCCCACCAGGGCTCCGAAGATTAATCCAGGCTGACGGGCGGGCCCTGAAAGGCATGATGGACAATTCATTAAACTCCCCAAATGCCGCACAACCTGGGCGTGAAGGCTGAGTTAGCCCCCTGGGGGCTGTGCCTTTGTCCTGATTGTGTGTCTGCGCCACAGCAGAGCCGAGCAGCCCCCAGAGAGCGGGGAGGTGAGTGGGGCTCCCTCAGCCTGGCCAGGCGGCAGGGGGATTAGGCCTTGGTCCGGCCCTGGTTGCCCTGGCACACGGGCCCAGCCTGACTGGAATGTCCGTGGGGGGGAGCGGGCCGAGCGGAGGGGCGGGGCCGACAAGGTGGGGTAAGGGGGGCACACAAAACCAGGGGCAGGAGGAGTTAATTAGACGTCAGCCGAGGAGGGCGAGGGGCCACAATAGGGCTGAGGGGCCGCCAGGGACGGCCCCTTCACTTCCGAGGATTAATAGGGAGATAGGGAGGAGGGAGAAGGGAGGGGTCAGCCCTGGAGGAGCAGAGCTGGAACCTTCACAGGGTGGCATTGCCCCCTCTTGCCCAGCTGGGCACCTACTTGGCGAATGGCTTGGAGTCAGGTGGTTCTGGCAGGCTGGGCAGGTTCCCTCAGCATCTCTCAGAATAGCTCTTTCTTTGTCCCATGGCACCTACATGGGAAGACAGTTGCACAGAGGGGATAGGACTTCCTGTGTGTTGGGGAAGCGGAGGAGGTGGGCATGTTTAAGGGCTCTGCTCTCAGGCCTCTTTCCCAGTCTACTCCCCAGCACATAACCCACTGAGGAGAATCTGGACACTGAAGCTTTACTTTTCTGGACTACAAGGCTACCAGACTAAAGCTGGGACATCCAGGGTGGACTGTGGAGGCTGCAGCAGTAGTGAACTAAACATGCAGGGGGGCTGTGGCTGTGCGTGTTTGCATACACACAGGCTTCTGCTTGTGTGCACGGGTGAGCCTGTGTGCCCGGCCTGGCATTCAGCAAGCCCTAGGTAGACACCTGTTGAATGAATACAGAAGTGAATTTCTGTTTTGCTGATGGCAAGTCCTGTAGATATGAGAAAGAGAAGTGGCACTGGGCTGCACCATGACACAGAGCAGGTGGCTTTGGGCCCTTTCATGCTGAGTTTCCAGCGGTGATCCTAGGAAGATAGGGACACCATCTCTAAGGAAATGACCAAAGTCCAGAGGAAATGGAGCAGTGGTTCCTTTACCTGGAGAAGGAAAGGAGGACGACAGAGGAAAAGGAGAAATGGAAAGGGAAGAAGAAGAGAGGGAAAGAAGCCTTTTGGAAGCCCCACTTCCTCCTGGGCCTCCAAGAACCGGGCAGCCCGGCTCCTCCCCAGGAGCCACCCCACCCTACCCCTCCCAGGGGATGACAGGGGAGCGAGTTGGCGGCAGTTCCCCGGGCATATTTATAACCTGCTGCTCCTCACCAGCGTCTGCTTTTAGCCCAGACGGGGGAGGGGGCAGGAGGGTGGTCTGTCTCATGCTGGGCGCCCCAACTGGGTGTGGAAAGAGTGAGTAAGGGTGAGTGGTGGGCAGCTCTGCGTGGATATTCCTGCTCACACCACAGCCAAACAGCTTATTTTCTCCTCATTTTGTTATTTTTCTGCCTCTGGCCTGGAGAGCAGGACTGAGCCAGCCCCCGGGGGTTGGGGGAGGGCCCAGGACCCTAGGGTATTTGCAGCCCCACTGACAGGGTTTTTCCAGGGTGCGTGCGGCAGGGTGTGAGCAGTGCTGGCTTCTGATCCCCAGGACGGTGCGGTGCGTGGCCTGCCGCCTCAGTCCTCTCAGCTTTTCCACACCCCCTCCCAGGATATTTCAGGAGGAGTCCCTCCCTCACTTACTGAGGCCAGCCTTGGTGTGTCCAGGGTCCCTGCCTCAGACCCCTCTGGAGGTGTGGCACCTGTAGATCAGAGGTGGGTGGGAGCCGGAGCATCACACACATTGCTGACAATGATGACAGGATCTCATCGCCACCACTCTGAGCCACTGTGGACTCAGAGACTTTTGTGAGACTCTTTCTAGGCAGAGTCACTTTTCTCCTCAGAATCTTCCCGCTCTAGCTGTTTGTATGAATAGCACAGATGATGGTAGTAACAAAGCAATTAGGTCCTATGCAGTGTGTTGTAGATCCTACAGCTTCTTTTACTGGTTTTTTTTTTGGGGGGGGTGGCAGTTCCTGAGGATTGAACCCACAACTTTGTAGGTACTACCTACTGGAAGCATTCTACCAGTGAGCCACACTCCCAGCCCTTTTACTTACTTTTTGTTTTACTAGTGCATGCCCTATTAAGGTTCAGCCTTATTCTGCACTTTTTTTTGCATCCTTTCTCTTTGAAGTGCCAGTCCCTGAAAGACTGAAGGCCTCCATGCTAAGGTTTAGAACTGGAAGTCTGTCCTTAAACTTCATGCAGGTACAGAGGATGTTACACTTAAGTAAGGCTTCATTGCACTCCCTCCACTATTCTGATAAAATCTGCCAAAATATGGATCCCTTGGCTGGACTGTAAACTCCTCTAGGGCAGAAACTATGACTTGTACTTCATAGTAGCACCAGCACTGGGCATACGCCTGGTGCAGAAGTGTCAGGGAATGTCCAAATGACCCTAGGTTTTGCACAGTCGCCTCATCTGCCTGAATGATAAGCAAGATAACATCCCTGTTTAATGGCCAGGTTAATGGAGGCTGAAAGTGCAAGAGATGTGCTAAATGTCTAGTTAAGGGGAGAAAATGATTTATCGCTTTCCTTTGCTCCTCTTCCAGCTCCTGGAAGAAGCAGAAAGCCTGTCAGCTTGGCTCAGAGCACCTGACTTCCAGGTCTGAAAGCTCCAACTCTTGGAGTTAGGTGAGAGTGGTGAGAGATGGCTGCTGGTCCTAGACCCCCTCCCTGAGCCTCACTCCCTATCCTGTCCAGCAGAGGCCTAGGCTTTCGCTCTCACTCTGCCAGCCCAGTAACTTCCTGAACCTGGGGATAGGATCTAATATCTCTTTGGATTATAGACTGGTCATTCACTGTGGAATGCTCTTTACTGGAACCCCAAAACCTTTCTGGGTCAATAAAGTTTTTATTCCTTCCCCTAGGATGTTCATCAGAGCTTTGATAGTGCTCACTCAGCAGAGGGAGAGTGAGGGAAAGGGATGTCATCCTAGGGTTGAACAGAGGTCAGGGATTTAGCTCAGTGGCATAAGCACCTGCCTGGCAGGCATGAGGTTGTGAGTTCAATCCCTGATACAAACAAATAAAACAAACAACCCTAGGATTGAACAGTCCTGGCTCCACTCCCTCTTCCCCCATATATATCTCAAAGGCTGACAGGGTCACAGTTCATACATCCAGGTATGAGCAGCAAGCCCAGTAAAGGAATCCCAGAGAGAGAATAAAGTTTTCAAATTGGTTGGAACCAGTTTTTGCCCTTGAAGTTGTAGACAGCTTCAAGCTCCCACTGCCTTTTTGGTGATGCTAGGTGTCAGGATTAGGGACCCAGAGTAAAATTTAAGAAATTGGTATTTGTCTGAAGTTAGGGTTCCACTATGCTAGGGTTGGCCTAGAGTTGAGGACAGGGAGAGGATTAGAAGTTTAGGGCTGGGTGTGGTGGCACACATCTGTAATCCCAGCATTTGCGAGGCTGAGGCAATAGGATCCTCTTGTGTTTGAGATCAGCCTGGGCTACAAAGTGAGTTCAAGGCCAGCCTGAACTGTCTCAAAAGGCAAAACAACAACAATAAAATCAGAGGTTTAGGGCTACTGGCAAGAGGAGCCTGCCTACTGACAGGTGTATGTGCACACACAAGTATCCCATCGCTGCTGCAATACCACAGTAACCTCATTCTGGACCTTTGTGTGAAAGGCAAGCTTAATAGTTTGGTGGCAGGCTACACTTGATTTCCTCTTGATCACATTGGTTTAAGCCTAGTGCATGTTTGGATTCTAAACCTCCTGCCCCTTTCTTCTCTGCCACCATCATCATGGAATTTTTGGGTTCAAGGCTGAAGCTGTTATCTGAGTCCTCCTGAACCCAGGGTTAGGAGCTGGGATTGTAACAGGTGTTTGCCAGTCTGTGACAGGAAAAGTGCTTCACTGCCCAATGCCCTGACCCCAGTGGAAGAGGACAAGCTTTAGGAACTGATAGCTCTGCATCAAGGCCAATAGCACCTTTTCTGCTCTTTTTCTTTCCAACTTTCCAGAACATGGTCACAGCTATCACTCAATTATAGCTCTTTTCACAACTCTTCCACGTGGGAAAAGCAGGCTCAGAGGTTAATTCCCATTCATCAAGTGAAGGCTCGCCCATATCACACAGTCAGCTGCAGTTAGAGTAAGACGAAGAAGCCTACAGGATCCTTTAGCTCCTGACCAGGGTCTTGTCCTGGGAGACTTGGATCCCCAGTGGCCTCGTCCACGGACCAGAACCTCGGGGTCTGCTTGCAGGGCTGGAAAACAGTTCCCTAACAATGCACCCTAGTTGTTTAAAAGAAGTAAGCACCTGGGCCTGGGAGTAGAAGACACCACTAGCCAGGCTGTGTTCGGGATTCAAGGAAAGCTACCAAGTCAATGATAAAAATAGAGATTTTATTCTGCAGAGGAGGACACTACATAGGTGGGGGCAAGGAGCCACTAATAGCTACAGTAGAAGGAAGTACTGATTCCGGTAGGCAAAGCATCTTAGAGAACCTAGGGACAGGAAAGAAGGTGGGAGAACAAAATGAGAGAAGAATGGAGAGGGGTCTGGTTGGGGTGAAGGTGGTCTTGCAAACCAGGCAGGAACCCAGGACAATAAATAGTTTTATTTACAACAACCAAACTCGTGGCTTTAATCCACGTTTCAGTGCAAATTATTTACACACAGATGAGGAGGCAGACAGGAAGGGGTAGGAGGTGGTGGAGAGAGGCATGGCTCACAGCTGTTCAGTGGCCTCACAACAGAGGGTGAGAGAATGGGGGCTTTTTGTACTGGACTCCCCAAACTTATTCTCCACATCATCACAGCTGCCCCTTCACCCCAGAACCTCCCGACTCATTGCAGGTGGGGTGGAGAAAGGCCCTGATGCTCAAGTGTAGGTTGAGGATCTGCATCTTGGACAGAGAATGGGAAAGGTAGGTTATGGGTAGGCAATGTGTAGAGACCCAGAGAAGACAGATGACAGAGGGGAAGGTCAGAGGCTGAGAGATCTTGGTGCTGCAGCAGTAGAGCCAGCCCAGAACAGGGTCTGGATCTGACCCCAGATTGAAGTGAAACAAATCCTTCTCTCACCTTGGGCCAGGCAGGTGGCAGTGCCAAAAGTGATCTCCCTTGGAAAGGGAGGGAAGTAGGTAAGAGCAGGTCCATCAGGATGGCCAGAGGGTTGGTGCTGCCCCAGATAAGTGGCTTGAGGAGTCCCCAGGTAGGAGTAGTTTGGAGAGATGGGAGACAGAGTGGCTGGAGGGTAGAAGGGAGGAGTGGGAGGGTAGAAGGGTCCGGAGTGCCCTCTTTGAGGAGGACAAGAGGACAGTGTTGCTAGGGGCACAGTCCACCCAGGGCTCACAGACACTCGTGCAGCACGCGTGTGTGCGTACAGTTGCGGCAGCTGACGTGGCAGCACCAGTGGAAGGTGCAGTTGCAACGCTCGGTGACGCGCTGCGTGCGCGTGCGGTGACCCCGGCCACAGCAGAGCAGCTCACACCCGTCCAGCGCAGGTGAAGAGCTGTTGCAGGCGCGTCCTGCGGTGCCCGCAGTACCCAGACGTCCACTGTACGTGCAGAAGTTGGGCGATTTCTCGAAGTAGACGAGGTCATGGGGGGATGGCGGCTTGTGCGCGGGGTCTTCTGGCTCCAGGCGCAGTAGCTCGGCGCGCGAAGCTCGGTTGCTGCCGCGGTTGCCGTACAGTACGCGGGAAGCGCCGTCGAAGCGGTCACGCAGCACATCGCCCACGGCACGCAGTGTGGGGAGCCGCATCCAGCATGTGCGCACGGTGCATGAGCCGGACATCCCATGGCACTTGCACTCCTGGCGCATCTCTGAGAACACGGTCTGGGAAGAAAACCACACTGTCGAAGCTAGGAGAACCATCCTCCCAAAAACTGCCCCCTCCCGGACGCCGCCGGAAACTCAGCGAAGGCCCAGGCTGAACCCCGAGAAAGGGAGGCGCGAAATGTTGTGCTGAGATTTGGACTTTCGGCCAAACTCTGACAGTCGGTCTCCTTCCCCCCCCCCAGCCTTGATTTTCGAATCTGTGCAATGGGGCCCATGGGCAATCTATCCCATGTGTTGCATGATTAACTTCTTCCATTCTACTGACTCTTAGCCCTGGAACCCCTTTGCTTTCGGCCACTGTCTTTCCTTCACCTCCTCCTCCCGCTCCCCCAGGACGCCCTCTCCTGGTGTCCCTCGCCTCTCCACCCACGGTTCCTTCCGGAGCCTGAGGGTGGCCCCTGCCACTCCGCCTTGGGTGCAAGCGTCTCAGGCAGACTCACCGTGCGACCTGCCTCGTTGTTGTGGAGGTTCATGAGGAAGCGCAGGTCCCGCCCCTTCTCCCCGGAATCCACGAACTCTCGGCCGAAGAGGCGGCCAAAATCGATGTTGTCGCTGCAGCCTCCCCAGTGCCAATCGGGGCCCCCAGGACCGCGCCGCCGGTAGTCGCACGTACAAGACTCGATGGAGCCCTCGGAGCAGGATCGCGCCACCGAATGGGTGACACCCGCGGAGGTGATGGCGAAGATAAACGCTGTTTCCCGACAGCCTGAGGGCGGAGAGCGCGGGGATCAGCGAGAGGGCGTGCGGGCCAGCCAGTATCCTCCTTGGACCCTGGAGTCCTTCGCCCCGCCTCGGCCTTTGATCCTTGAGACCTGGACCCGAGGCAGTGTTGGGAACCTATCCTCTGGGTCTCATAGAGAAAGCTGGTGCGCAAGCATACACCCACCAACGCTCTCTTGATCGGATCTTGCTGGAATTCTTCAGAGCGGTTTTGGGCTCTAAAACGAAAGTGGGGTAGCCCTCAACCCCCCAAAACATTGAAAAAAGAGGAGTAGGATGACTGCATCTTGCAGACCTGTCCGCAGCCCAAACGTGCAGCCCATGTTGGCAATGTAAGCTTTGCTAGCTAGGAAGCAAGACGCATGCCCATTGAGAGTTGGCATTTTGAGAAAAGTGAGGCGAGAACGGTGTTTCGCTGGCTCACAGACTGGAATTCCTGTTCTCTTGGACTATAGCTAAGAAAAGTTAGGTTTCTTGCCAAAGGAGTATGACTGGAAAGCGCCCGGTAGGATAGAAGTCTGGCTGGGAGTTGGCTGTAGGCTCCATGCGGTTGGCAGGTTGCTCTGGTGACCCTGCGGGCGCCTGGGACATTTTTCCTGCACTGGCCCGCCTATGCCCTGGGGGTGACCCTGCCTTTCCCTTGGTTCCGGAAGCGTCGCCTTCCTGGGCACCCACCTCGGTTGACGATCTTGCCGAAGAGGTGGGGCCCAGGAGCAGTGGGGCAGTTCCAGCGGCGGTTCCGGAACTGCCACTTGCACTCGCGCACGGCACTCTGCAGCCCACCGCTTACGCTGTGCAGAATCCCTGGGTTTTGACGGATCAGCCGCCTCTGCTTTCGGCTCAGCAGTTGCAAACTGGGCTCCAGCACCAGCTGCAAACTCTTGGAGTCCGTCAGCAGGTTTGTGGAGGAGGCTATGTTCACGATGCCCCTATTGGGACGCAAAATGAGAGCTCAGGCTCAGCAAGAGGACCTGCACCCTAACTATGAAGGTTAGGGTGCTGTACTCTGCCTTGTGGTTAGGGTGCTGTTTTCTGCCTGGGGCCACGTGCCTGGAGAAGCATCAGGAGATCAATAACAAGGTAACCACGACTACTACGTGCTCTTTCACCCATTTGAAAGAACAGGGCATCCAGACTTTTGTGTGGCCAGGAGTCTGTGAGCTGCTTGGACCCCTGGGTCCAGGGACTAGAAAGAGGAAACTGGGAGATTGGTTGTCTACTTTGGCTCCTTCTGGTCAGCTCCAGTGAAAAACTGCTAGCCTGCAAAGTGCTTAGGAGTCCTCCCATCTTCACTCTCCCTTCCAAACTAGCACCTGGTCCTTTGCTCCCTAATGTGGGGAAACCTAAGGTACAGCCACCACTGCGAGGCTGGGACTGGGCTAAAAGGGGAAGGGCCATGCTATTATGGGAGTGGATGTCTTCAGGCAGGTCATCTGCCCCATTTGGGCAGGGCTGGAGGGTCTGGGGCAGCTCGGGGGCCACAGCTCTCCTCCATAAAGTCAGAGGGCAGAAGGGAACCTGTGGACTGACGGATCCGAGCATGGGAGCTGCATAGGGCTGGTCCCTGGCTCTGTGCCCCAGGATAAGTGGCAACCCCACACCAGCTCACTTACCACCATCGACCACTGCTGTTGGCGGCCAAAGCTGCGGGCAGAGCGGCCAACACCAGCAGCAGCGTAGCAGAAACCCAGCTGGGCAGCAGTGCCCAGCGCCCCATGGCCTGCCTGGCCTTGCCGGTTTCTGTGCTGCAGTTGCGGCGGCTTTGGCTGCTGCCCGCGACGGTGGGACCGGACGCGGCGGTGGTGGCGGTGGCGAGAGGTCGCAGTCTGCCTTTAACAACCCCGGAGGCGGTCGGCGGGCAGCATGGCTCGCGGTCCCGGTTGGTGGGCTGACGCGGCCACGGCGGGCGGCACCGCCTCTTATAGTTGCGGCGCTGGCTAGAGTGACGAGAGGAGACTGCCCTGCTGGTCGCACTGTGGCACAGGGCGCACCGGTCAGGGGTACAGACAATGGGCAGTGAGCGGGCCGTGGCTCCCGCCCGTCTGAGCAGAGAGCTGACGGACTGGCCGTCGGGGCTCACCCCCGCCTCCTGCCCGGTGGCCGCCGCCTCCTGACCGGCACTGGCCGCGGACCCCTCCCCTTGGGACGCCCTCCCACGCGCACCCGCCTCACTCCTCTTGGCGTCGGGAGCCCGTCGGGGGCCAGCATCCGCTAGGGGGCGCGGCGACAATGTGCTTAATGAACCCTCCAGGAGCAGAGGCTGTCTGGCCTGCCGCTGTGGGGCTCTCTCTTCGACGACGTCACCCCGGGCTCCACCGATGTCCCTTTTCTCCCCCACGCTGAGATCGCAAGCGAAGTTGTGGTTCTGGTTTAGGGGGATCTTTTGTTGTTGTTTTGGGTGTTTTTTGTTTTGTACTGGGCATTGAACCCAGGACCTTGCGCTTGCCAGGCAGGCGCTTGTGCCGCTGAGCAAATCCCCGGCCTAAAGTTGCGGTTCTAGGCAGTAAATGTGCAGACGCTTCCCCCGCACAAGCTATAGAACCCCACTGGCTGGACAGAGAAGGAAAAGGGGGAGACTGGCCGTGGGTGGATCTGTGGTCAGGGAAATCACACAGATCATTGGGAGTTGCTGACCAAATAAAGAGAAACCTGAAGCAGCAGCAGTTTGCACTTATGGGCCAGGAGAGCCCAAGTGCTGCTGCTGCTGCTGCTGGTGTGTATGTGTGTGTGTGTGTGTGTGTGTGTGTGTGTGTGTGTGAGGCTGCCTGCTTCTATGGATTGGTGTGTTCAGAAACTCTCAGTTTTGAGGAAGGAGGTAGGATTCTAAAGAATTTTAGATTTTAACTTAGGTCAGAAAAGAGCATCAGGACATTTGTTCACAGTTACTGCCTGGGGCAGTGTGTTAGGAATGAGATGGCTGAGAGATGGAGCATGTCTGGAACTGTATTTAGAGGTGGGTGGATGAGTGTGTGCTGGGGAGATTAAATATGTGTGTATGTGTCATTCTGCCACTCTGTGGTATACCTTGTGTCACCCTAGATGTGTCACCTGTGGCCGTTAACCTGTCACTGAGGGAGAAAGCAGAGACTAATGAAGTGGATATGAAGGTGGACCAGGCCTCGGTGGCTGAATGGTGACAACCAGGCTCAGAAAGGTTGGGCACTGGAGCGGGGTATCAGGTGTGTGTGGGAGTAAGGAACGGACAGGAAAGGGCAGCTGGCTGAGCTCACCGTGACTCAGGGAATTTGTTCCCTCATGTGTTAATTCTTTTCTCAGTTTTTTTCTGCTATTATTTGTCTTCCTTCAAAATTCTTTTTGTTTTTTTCATTTTGGGTACTGGGAATCGAACTCAGGACCTTGTACTTGCCAGGCAGGTGCTGTGCTGCTAAGTTAAATCCCCAATCCATTTCTACAAAATTCTGGTTCTTTCCATTTTTACCACACAGAGTGCCAGTCTCTACATCATCCACTGTACACTTACTTTACTGTTGTCTCTCAACACTGTCGCGGCCTCCTACCAAAGAAATGACTGCCATTCCCTATTGGAGGGACAGGGGGCACTGCCAGCCTTGTTATCATGCTCACTGACACCAGAGTTGGTCCCTGAAGGGGAGGTCTGTAATCTCTTCCTTCTGTTTTACAGAGGAAATAGATGAGGCAGTTGTCCAAGGTACAATTAATAAGTGATCAGTGGTACCATTTTACCAGTTATTGCCAGGGTACAGCAACAGAAGACCAGAACCCTTCTCGAAAATGACAGGAAGTAAAGAGTTTTAGTACTTTTCTGCCTCCCTTTTGGATCTTCTTTTCTCTATCCCCCAACCCCTTTTTGCTGTACTAGAAGGTCAAACCCATGACCTTTGAATGAGCCTACATCCCTAGCCCTTTTTAATTTTTTATTTTGATACAGTCTGGCTAAGTTGCAAAGATAATCAGTTACCCAGAGTGGGCTCAAACTCACAATCCTCTTGCCTCAACTTCCCAGAATGTTGGGACTACAGATTCATGCCACTTCATCTGGAATCCCATGTTTTTTGGATGTTTTCTGACTCAGTAATTACCCTATAGCCATACCCAAGCCTTACCCTATAGAGTCTCAGGTCCCAGAAATGAAATGATCAGGCTTCTCTAAGATAGGAAATCACTCTAAGGAGTAAATGCCTGGTTAGTTTAGGTAATATTCCCGGGACACTTGCATTTAATTTAATTTAATTTTATTTTATTACTTTTTGGTTCCGGGATCAAACTCACAACCTCACACTTACTAGTCAGGCATTTATGCCACTGAGCTAAATCCCCCAAAACACTTGCATTTTATTTTATTTTATTTTGTCTTTTTTCCTCTTTATCGGTACTGGGGATCGAACTCACAACTGCCTGCTTGCAAGGCAGGCACTTATGACGCTGAGCTAAATCCCCAACCCAACACTTGCATTTTAAATGAGATGTGTATTTACTCAAATGAAGCTTGGTGGAGGATGTTACTGAAGGACATATCTTTCTCTGACCCTTTGTACAACCCAATATACCTGGGTCCCAGAGGGGCAGGGTGAAATGGCCCAGCATCCTTCTCAGGTCTCAAACTCAACAGTCTCTGCAGAAGGCACTCACACAGATGGCCACGTAGGTGAGCACTGGACCACAGGTGGACTTTGTCCCTTAAGAGTTTTTTCCCTCTGGGGTCTGGAGGATTGCTACAACTCCACAGGGGTGGGAAGCAGGCTGGAAGACAAGGAAACCTATCTATGGCCACTGGTGCTGAGCAGAGGTGGGAAGAGGAAAGGAGCTGCTATCTTTTTTCCCCAATGTTGCAGAAGGGATTTCTTATTCCTCTATTTTTCAGGAGTAGGTGGGAAAGAGGGGAAGTGTTCCAGATCTGGGTTACACTATGCAGGGCCCAGCTCAAATGTCTGTTTTGCTCAAACCATCACTTGTCAATCATTGGCTCTTTCTTTTTGACGTCATCAGTTTATCTTACTTCAGGAACGCATTTATCAACATGCAAACATGCTGTGATACATTCCATTTGAAAAACTGAAAAGCTTCATTTGGTCTCATGTTACTACTTCAGCACCCCATTTCTCGGTTCTCTGTTACTGCAAAAACCCAAAATAGCCAGATGTGGTGGTATGTGCCTGTAATCCCAGTACTCAAGAGGTTGAGGCAGGAGGATTACCAAGAATTCCAGGCCAGCCTGGGCTACAAAGTGAGTTCAAGGCCAGCCTGAACTGTACAGCGAAACCCTGTGTCAAAAAAGAACTCCCTATCAAAAATAAAAACAAAAAAACCCCAAAACAATCCAACTCAAAACAGTTGTTATAATTAAAAGCACTTATCCCACACACACATGGGGATTGAACCTAGGGACACTCTACCACCGAACTATATCCCCACTATCTGAGATAGGGTCTTGCTTGTCCAGACTTGCCTTGAATTTACCATCCTCCTGCCTCAGCCTCACAAGTAACTGGAATTACAGGTAAGTGCTCTTCATTCTCCTTCTGCTCCAATAATGCCTTTAAACTCATTACACATCCTTATCAAAACCATTCATGAACATTTATTTGGCCCTGTCCAATGGCCAAATCATAATTCTCATTCTAATTGGCCTTCCTGTAAGAGCAGACACCACTGAACACTTACTTCCTCCTTTTGAACTACTTCCTCACTTGATTTTGGAACACGCTCCTGTCTCATTGGTTGCTTCCCTTTCAGTCTCCTTACTTGAATCCTTCTTGTTATCAGTTTCTAAAAATCAGTGTACACTCAGGTTTTCTTATTTTATATAGACTTCCCTGATGAACCAAACAGGCCATGCTTTTTGTGCTACCTAATTTATATCTCTGAATTCAGTGCACCTAACATCTCAAAATTCTCATGCCCAAAACTGACCCCTTTTTTTCTGTCTCCCCCCAACTTCCTACAGTCTGGGGATTTGCACTGAATTACATCCCCCAGCCCTTTTTTCATTTTTATTTTAAGATGGTGTCTTGCTAAATCGCTAAAATTACTCCACTACGCTAGGCTAAAATCTAAACTCTTGGTCCCTCATTGCCCAGACTCATCTTCCCCACCAACTACTTCAGTTATTTTCATCTCAGTCAATGACAACGCTATGCTTTAGTTGCCTAGGATGAGATTCTCGTAGTCACCCTTGACTCATCTGTCTTAAATTCCAGGTCAAGCTAACACAAATTTTGTCCCTTAGTCTTCACAACATATGCAGATCCACCTCAATATTTTCCTTCTCCCCTGTTGATGACTGAAGCCACCATCCCTGCTTCTCGCCAGCCAGGCAGGTCCCTGGCCCCTATTCAGCCACAAGCTCATGCTTGTAGTTTTTCTGCTTTCCTTAGACCACACAGAATCTTAAGCATAGACAGCACTTTGTCTTTTGTTTGTTTAAAACAATAACTTATTTTTTGTACTGGGAACCGAACTCAGGACCTTGCACTTGCCAGGCAGGTATTTGTGACACTGAGTCACTGTTGTTTCACTGGTTGAAACAATAACTTTCAAATTCTTTTTTTTTTTTTTTATAATTTTTTTTTGTCTTTTTCATTTTTATTGGTACCAGGGATCGAACTCACGACCGCCTGCTTGCAAGGCAGGTGCTTATGCCGCTGAGCTAAACCTCTAGCCCAACTTTCAAATTCTTGTCACTTCCTGAGGAGCAATGTTTCAGAACTAAACATTCTTTGCATTATATAAAACAAAGTGGGGCTGGATATGGTGGTGCACACCTATAATTCCAGCATTTGGAAGGCTAAGGCAGGAGGATCACTGCAAATTTGAGGCCAACCTGGAATACATAGTGAGTTCAAAGCAAGCCTGAACTATGTAATGAGACTCTGTCTCAAAAGACAAAAGCCTAACAAAGTGGAGAATTTAGATAAGTACAAAACTTTCAAACATTTTCTCATTTGAGTATCTAAATAACTCTTTGCATCTCCATCTCATTCTTGCAATAGCCTCTTAACAACTTTCCCAGCTTCTGCACTTGTCCTCACTGTCTGTTCTCCACATAGCAGCCAGCACCATGCTTTCTAAAAAGGATCTCAGGCTGGACATGATGGTATATGCCTGTGATCCCACCTAATGGTGGCTACTCAGGAGGCTCACACAGGAGAATCAATATTTCATTGCAAATTTGGGCTACACAGTGAGTTCAAAGCTGGCCTAGACACAGCAGCAAAACTCCATCTCAAAACAAACAAAAATAGCCAAGCATGGTGGTATATGCCTGGTATCCCAGCATTCAGGAGGCTGAGGAAGGATTTCCATGAGTTCAAGGCCAACCTGGACTATGTAGTGAGACCTGTTTCAGAAATCAAGCAAACAAAACAAAACTCTTTATAATGGTCTAAAAGGTCCCATATAATCTGACCGTTCCTTCCTAATCTTCCTCTTCCTTCCTTCCTTTCTTTTCTTGGTTTCCTGCTTTCTTTCTAACCAGGGATCAAAGTCATGACCGTACACTTGCCAGGCAGATGCTTGTGCCACTGGGCTATATCCTCGGCCCTAACCCTCCAATTTCATCATTTACCATTCTCTCTCTGTGGTTTCCTCCTCTATATTGTTCTCTTCCTTGGCATTCCTTTGAACAGACCCAGCATGCTCCTTTCTGAAGTTGGCACCTGATTTTCTGTCTTCCAAGAGTGCCCTTCTCCAAAATCCATGTGTCTTTTTCCTTCATTTTCATTTTTCCTTCCCCTTTATAAATGGAATCCCACTCCCAATCTCCTTTACCCTGTTTCATTTCTCTCTGTATCATTTTGGACCATAGATAACTAACTCAAAAGGCATGAAGTACAAAATCAAGAACACACAACCCTCCAGAATAGGGATAGGGTTAGGGGAAGGGTGCTTTGGCTCTGACCTTGGGATCTGGAAAGGAAACAAGGAGTTGGGAGGCATGGGACTGAGAGTCTGTGGGCGGAGGACCCCTCCCCTTCCTTTGAGTGCTGTCCCTTGGGCTGAGGAGGCATGGCTCACCCATCAACTCAGAGTATGGAAAAGAGTAAAATTCTGTGAGGATAATCCTGAAGATTTGTGAGGCCAACTGCCAAATGTGAGGGGCTTCCTGCGAGTCCTACATAGTCTGGGTGCAGACCCTTTGGTGCCTCCAGGTGGTGGCCTGCAGTGCTGCAGCAGAAGGCGTGTGAGGTGGAGGGTGGGCAGCTGAGCTCACCGCCGCGGGCGCATCCATCCCTCCCGGGCCTATAATTTGGGTTCCCCAGGCCTGGCCACCCCTATCAGCAGCTTAGCAACAGATGAGTCACCCAAGACCCCGGGCCAAAGCAAACATGAAGGGGGGGGAGAGGTTGCTCCCAAGGCTCGCCACCGCCTCAGTTGCTTGATCCCCCGATCTCCAGGGGCTCTGTTCTTTGACTCCCGCCCTTTAGGATCCACTGTTCTTCCCATATTGTTTTCATACACCCTCCAGCCCCATGATGGCAAGAAAAGCCCTCTACTCTTCCCACTCAATGGAAGGGGGACCAACTTGCTCCCACTGTCTCCCTGCAGTGATGACAGCCCCCACTTTTCCCCTCTTGTCATGGCCCAAACCCTTGTCAAGGTCTCTCTGGTTCCCACCCCGCCCCTTTCCTGGAGCTGGCCGCGTGCTTGGGGCATTAGGCAATGGGTGTGCACCGCAGGCTTCTCCAGGCCCCGCCTGTCCCACAGCCCTCTAGCTGCTTGCGGGTCAGTCTTCAGGCCAGCCGGTCGGGCTGAGGGCACTGTGGGCCAATTCGGGCCACCCAGTTTGCCTGCCTATGGCCTCCTATTGCAGAACTAGCGTTCAGTTGTGAGACAGCAAGAGTACTGGCTCTTGGAGTTGGAAAAGTCCAGTATAGGGAACCCCTGGGAAACTGAGTAATTGAAACCTATGGCATAAGTTCTGACCCTAGCCCCTTCGTGACATCTGACTGTATGCTGAAGCCTGAGGAGGACAGAATCAGAACAACAAGATAAAAACAAAATTCAAAACCTGCAGGAGACCAGAGACACATAGAGAAATACAAATGACCATGAGTTTCCTGTGGAATAAAAGGCCATAGCAAACCTCATGCTGTCCTTTGGGGACCTGAATGGAGTTCTAGGCTGGTGTGCAAGAAGGACAAGGACACTGGTGAGTGGTGAGCCAGGTATAAGGCTGTAAACCACGGAGATAGGGCTTGCAGATTCTGGTGGCCCCCCCAAACCACACATGGCTTGGTTCTTGTCCTCTAAGTGGGAAGGAGGGTCAGGAGATCTTGGGTTCCCTCTCCCCACCCTGGAGATAGAAATCAGAGAAAAACAGCTCTGTGGTCTTTGCTTTTCAGGGTCAGGGTCCATGGCACTTTCACTTCCCTAGTCAGGTCAGGGAATGATACATAAATGTGGTTAGCTATATCTCACAGATGTAATTCCCTAATCTCAGACTGCTGCACCGCCCCCCCAGACCAGCAGCGCCCCATCAGTACAAAGCGGGACCTGCAACAGCACGGACGGGAGGCGTGTTGCGCAGTATAGCTACAGTGCCACCAACGAGGATGAGCTGATTGTGGCTGTGGGTATCAGCCCCAAGCTTTTGCTTACTGGGGGTGATCTCTGAGTCAATATATCTTGGGTGCGCGGGATCAGCCGTGCCTTGGGCTGCGGTCTGGCAGGGGCTGGGGGTGGTTGGGAAGCCTGGGGCCCCTCTCTGGCAAAAATAGTCCGCAGTGGTTAGAGCTAAGAGAGTGAGTCAGGCAGGAGTGCGGTGGCGCCTAACCCCTTCGCTGCCACTGGAGCTCCCTCAGGCATTTTGTCTCCCCCCTGTGCCCCCCAAGACCAGGTTCTTTCTGGGCCGCTCTTGAACTAGGCTCCACGTGGGATCCTGAGGCCCTCCTCGGCCCATGAGAAACAAGTCTTCGTGCCTGGAGCAAGAATCAACGCCACCCGAAGAGAGAATCCAGGAATCGCAGGAAGGATAGGAGACCTCTACGGGAAAGAGTGGCAACAAGGAGAGGCAAATGTTAGGGACAGGGTGAGGACTTCGGGGTCACGGGAGGTTTTTGGCAAAGTCCAGATTCTGAGGCCACAGCTGAGCCCCGGCAAGGGGCAAGAGGCAAGCTCAGGGCTCGGAGGTGGGCGGGCACCCGGCTGAACGGCGGTGCGCCTCTCCAGTGTGCTGCAGCGCCTTGCTGCGCGCTGCGGCTGTGGGCTCTACTAGCGACTGCCCAACATCCGGAGCCAGAAGACAGTCCACCCCTGGGCTTGTCAAAAGAGCTCTCCAGCCACCGCTTTCTCAATGGAGGAACTGAGGCAAAGAGAAATGATGAACTATTTGGCCACTTGGGCCGGATCCTGGCTTCCTGGTCTGGGTCACAATCCGCACAGCCTCGAGGATCCCAGAGCAGGTGAGAGGAACTCGGGCTACCTCCCCCTTCAGTGGGGCCAAGCCCCAACCCGAGCGTCGGGGGAAAGGGTGTGTGTGTACGCTGGAAGGAGGGGGAGCGGCTGCGTTCCCCTGGTCAAGGGGGGGGGATGCGGGGCTGGGGTGGGGATGCCCCGGGCTTGGGGAGGGGCCGCAGCTCCGTCAGCCCTCGCAGCCGCCCGCGAGCTCCGCGCGAGCACAGCCAGAGCCCCCAGCGCTTTGCTGGCTGCTAGCTCCCCAGCTCTCTCGATCGCTCCCTCCCTTTTTCCCTCCCTTCCTCCCGGCGGCCGTGGCGGCGCTGGGGAAGCGGCGAAGAGGAGTGGCCCGGCCCTGGAAGAATGCGGCTCTGCCGAGGGGGCAGATCACGACTCGGTCTCCTTGCGGTTTAAGCAGCCCGAGCATAGCCCAGGCGACCCAATCCTGCGGGTCGCGGACCCTGCACTCGAACCCCTGGAGGTAATCCAACCGGAGAAAGCAAAGAGGGCAGGGACTCTCATACCGAAGCCAGACAGGCACCCGGGTAGACCGACCGACAGACAGACAGACATCCACCCCAAGAGCACAGATGCGCAGAGAGAGCCAGAGATAAAGAGAGAATAAATGAGTATCTCCAGATTTAGAGGGCAAGGGGATGGGGATAAGTCAGGGATCTGTGGGTGCCAGACAAGTGGCTCACCGAGGAGGGGAACATACAGTTAGGAAAGGATAGAGGAGTGGGTGGGACAAGGGAAAGGCTTATTCGCGACAAGGGCAGCACTCCTGTTTGCCAGAGGCCATCAAATTTCCCTCTCTGTTACACCTGGAGCCTCTCCTCTTTCCCTGCCTAGCAGGGAGCAGGTAGAGCCGAGGAAAGCCCAGTCTTGGACCCTTCTGACAGAACTTGCTGCTACTGCAGACACCTGGAGGTGACACCGCCCCAGGTAGTGGGGAACCCCCTGCCAGTCCCCCACCAGCCTCATAAGGGCGGGGAAGACAGTCGTGGGGCCCTAGAAGAGGGAACAGTGGGTGAAGTGGTGGTGGAGCTAGTGTTTGTGAGTCTGTCTGTCAGTGTTTGCATGTGAGTGTGTGTACCAGGCATTGTGTTTGACTGGGCAGGGGTCCAGGGGGCGGTCAGTGAGTCCTGAGTTGTGGACCCTTCCTCTTAAAAGCTCTCCTGGACTCAGAAATTCTGGGAATCAAGGGTTGATTCTTACTGCTTTGTTTGCAGAGGGGTGAGAAAGTTCAGTTGGGTGGCACTGGTGGTGGTTTAAGAGCCTAAACTAGGGCATCCATCAGTTTGCTGGAGGGCCACCGTATTCCAGAGCCTACATCAAATCTTTCTGCCCCGCAGGCGCTGATCCATCTACCCACCGGAGCCTCCGGGCTTCGACATGCTGGAGGAGCCCCGGCGGAGGCCTCCACCCTGGGGCCTCGTTGGTCTCCTGTTCCTGGCCTTGTGCAGTCGGTGAGCAGTTCTCCCTGTCTTCCAGCCTCCTGAAGAAGCACCAGTCTGTAGTGTGAGGCTGTGTGCGGGGTGTGTGAGGCTGGATCTTAGGTCCCTGATGCCTTTTCTGTTTCCAGAGCTCTCAGCAATGAGATTCAGGGCCTGAAGCTGCCAGGCGAGCCGCCACTAACTGCCAACACCGTGTGCTTGACGCTGTCCGGCCTGAGCAAGCGGCAGCTGGGCCTGTGCCTGCGCAGCCCCGACGTGACTGCATCGGCGCTTCAGGGTCTGCATATCGCAGTACACGAGTGCCAGCACCAGCTGCGCGACCAGCGCTGGAATTGCTCGGCACTCGAGGGCGGTGGCCGCCTGCCGCACCACAGCGCCATCCTCAAGCGCGGTGAGCCTGGCGGGGCTGGTCTGAGCCGCTGATGCCAGGGGCTGGGGGGCAGGCCGAGGCGCGCGCAGGCTGGAAAAAACGGGTTCACGGCTTCGGGAGGGGCCTCTCGGGGAATTTCCCCCCCGGGAGCCGAGCTGAGCCGGGTCTGGCCATCGTCTGGGCCTCTGCGCGCCTGACTTTCACCTGCACGCTGCTGGCAAGGCAGCTGGGTTCTGATCCCTACCCTACGGCCCCCCTTTTCTGCCTCCACCCTGCTCTATCTGGGTTGCACCTGTGAATGAGAGATGCCCCCAGCCCTGAAAGCTTCAGACACTCCCCCTAGTCACTCCCCCATTTTTCTCTCCCCTCCCTCCAACCCGGACAAGCCCAGGCCGATGTCCCCAGAGTCTCAGCGGGGGTGGGGTGACGCCCCCAACCGTTTAAGGGTTAAACCTGCTCCCCTAATTGCTGGGGTTCCCAGGAGCCAAAGCTGGGAACAAAGACCCTGATGGCTTTGAAGCTGGGTAGCAGCCCCCTCCTCTGTGCTATGGGGGCCCCAGGTGTGGCTCACCTGAGCAGGTGAGGAACAGCTGGAGGGACCAGAACAGATCCTTGCTGGCCTGGTCTGGAAGGGATGGTCTGGGAGGCTTCACTCCTCCCCATACCCCTGCTGGAGTTCACACTCCCTGAGGAGTAAAGATCTGTAGGGACTTAGCCCAAGGGGTGGGGGCAGTGCTTTGGGGACTATGGGGTTAATAGGCAGCTGCCATCTGCAGGGAAATTCCCAAGACTTGTGCAAACAGCTTCACCCTTGAAGGGTTGGGGTTGGGGGGATCAGGAGGCTGGCCAAGGAACCCTGAATCTGGGGTAAGAGAGGTCTGGCCCTTAAGGAGGTGCTGTCTTTCATCTTCTCAGGGCTCCAGAGAGCTCTTGCCTAGAGAAATAAGGGACCCCCTCCTTCTCCAAAGGAGGAACATCCATATGGTGGGCACCTTCATCATCTAAGCTTGAGAGAAAGCCTTATCATTGCAAGCCTCCTTGACCCCCAAACTATAACAAGGAGGCCAACCTTTTAAGAAGGCTGTAGGGAACCCCCCCACACACAACCTCACTCCTCCTCGTGTTTTATAGGGTAATAACAGGTTTGGATAAACATAAAGGGCAGTCTTGAAGGGCAAATATAAAACTAGAATCTGGAAAAGGGATGGGCAGCCCTTAGGTCCAGTGCTTTGAGGGTGTTCTGTTCTAGTAGTGGAGAGTAGGTTGATTAAAAGACTGATTTAAATAATATTTAAGAAAACAAAAGAACCCCAAAGGACTGCTCTTACCCCACCCAAGCTCCCTGCAGGGCTGGGGAATTTCGAAGTCTTTAGATGTAGAACTCCATGAACACATCTTCAAAGTCCTCAGGGATCCCTCTTGTTCACCTCCCAAATCCAGGGGTCTCAACTTCTGGTCTGGCTCTTTCATCTACACCTGAAAACCACAGACTTATAGAGTGGGAATGGGCTTAGATATCATCTAGACCCATCAGTTTCTGTGTATAGATGAGGAACTCAGGCTGCGCAACCTTGTGCTGTGACATTCTCCTAAGTCACTCAGCTGGTAAATGGCAGGTTCAGGGTTCAGTTGGGAATTGCTGGTGTTGGAGGGTGGCTGTTTCTTTCTTCTTCTTATTCTCATCTACCAGTTGACCTTACCTCCATCTTCATACCCTTTTTATCCCCAGGTTTCCGTGAGAGCGCTTTCTCCTTCTCCATGCTGGCTGCTGGGGTCATGCATGCAGTCGCCACAGCCTGCAGCCTGGGCAAGCTGGTGAGCTGTGGCTGCGGCTGGAAGGGCAGTGGTGAGCAGGACCGGCTGAGGGCCAAACTCCTGCAACTCCAGGCACTTTCCCGGGGCAAGAGCTTTCCTCACTCCCTGCCCAGCCCTGTCCCTGGCTCAAGCCCTCCTGGCCCTGGCCCCCAGGACACATGGGAATGGGGTGGCTGTAACCATGACATGGACTTTGGAGAGAAGTTCTCTCGGGATTTCTTGGATTCCAGGGAAGCTCCCCGGGACATCCAGGCACGAATGAGAATCCACAACAACAGAGTTGGGCGCCAGGTATGTATGTGCATCTTATACTGGCTCTCCCTTGATTCTGAGGCCTGGTTAGGGTCTGACAGGCTCAGCAGAGTAAATATGATGAGGTGTGGTGGGCAGGGATTCTCTCTTGCTGTCAGCAAGCCTCTCAGCCTCAGGTTTCTGCATGTATAAAAAGAGCCTGATGAAGTTGGAGATGGGAAGCTTGGTAGTTGGAGACCATCTTGAGTCATATAGGGCCAGCCTGGACTCCATGTCAGAAAAAAAAAGCAAAGGAAAAAAAAAAACCTGATGATAACCTGCCTCACAAGTCTTTAAGGCTGAACTAGCAAAATACTCCTAGTCCTTGGCTCATCACATGGTAGCTGTTCTTACAGATGTCTTCCCTACAGATTTTAGGGGCACGGTGGGCCACAGTCCTTATTTTATCAGTGCTTACTCTGGAAAGAGCACTGGACTGGGAGTTAGACAATTGGAGTTGAGTCTTGGCTCTCTTATTGATCAAAGATGGGCAAATTGCATTGCTCTGGCTTCGGTTTTCCAATCATAAAATGAAGGAGTTGCTCAATTAACTAACTTCTTTGCAATGCCCCTTCTCACTGCGTACTCATTTGTCCCTGTGTTCTCTGTACCTTTCCCTCTCCGGTGCTATGTTCAATTCCTGCCTGCTGCTTCATTTCTCTTCCCTCTGATGCTCTAGGTGGTAACTGAAAATCTGAAGCGGAAATGCAAGTGCCATGGTACATCAGGGAGCTGTCAGTTCAAGACATGTTGGAGGGCAGCCCCGGAGTTCCGGGCTGTGGGGGCAGCACTGAAGGAGCGACTAGGCCGAGCTGTCTTCATTGATACCCACAACCGCAATTCTGGAGCCTTCCAACCTCGCCTGAGACCCCGTCGCCTCTCAGGAGAGCTAGTTTATTTTGAAAAGTCTCCTGACTTCTGTGAACGAGACCCTACCGTGGGCTCTCCAGGGACAAGGGGCCGGGCCTGCAACAAGACCAGTCATCTTTTGGGTGGCTGTAGCAGCCTGTGCTGTGGTCGTGGGCACAATGTTCTCCAGCAGACGAGAGTTGAGCGCTGCCATTGCCGCTTCCACTGGTGCTGCTATGTGCTATGTGATGAGTGCAGGGTCACAGAGTGGGTCAATGTGTGTAAGTGAGGATCAGCCTCATCTTGGGCTGGGGAAAGGGACTGTTTGAAAGGGGCACTTTTTGAGCCCTGTGCTCAGATTTCTGTCCAGGGCTAATCTTGGCTTCTGGAAGCTCAAAGTATCTACCTGGAAACAGCTTTGGAATGGTGGGGTCAGACAGGTCTGTGATTTGCAGCTTTCTCTGCACAGCTGGAAGGGCCTTTAAGGGAAGCTGTTGCCTCACTTCCTCTCCTCTAACACCTGGATGAACTAAGATGAAATGTACTGTATTGCTTCTCTCTTCTCAACCTCATGACCCCTTTATCCCTAAGTCACACTTCTTTGGTTGGGGAGATCCTCATAGTTTGGTCACTTCTTTCCTTGATGAATAACCCCAAGGACTTGTGTGGAGCCATTAAGACCTGTAGAAAGAGATCACCCCCTCGTATCTGCTTTCTCAAACTTGTCTACCATAGCCTATATCCCCTATTTTTGGGTCATGTGGCAGTTCTGGAAGAGAAGTTTTTTTTTTTTTTTCAGGGAGAGCTGGAGGGCATTCTCCTCTGAATCCTCAAAGAGCCGGACTTCAGAAAGACCCCTTAGGAAAGTTGTCTCTTTCCATTCAGGTGTTAAAGGGGACCTTCCAAAAAAGGGTCTTACCTAAGACTCTTGGAGTCCCCATTTTACTCCTTCAGCAGGAAATGGATAATTTATTGTACTGATAATTGTTCTTGAAACTAAAATAAATTAAGTTACTGGACTGGTGGAATGCAAATGGTGATATCCAGCCATACTAGGTAGGGATTTTGAATTGTTACACATTGCCTCTAGGTTTGCCTTTGGTGATCTGGAAGTCTGGGGCTGCATCCTGTTTAAGTGTCTTCTCATTTTTTATTTCTTTTTTTAGTTTAATTCCTAGGTTGATGCTTATAAATTGCTTATGGCAAGTAGCTTTATTGCTAGTATTGAGGAGTCTTGGGAAGTGACTACCTCTCAGAGATGCCTTCCAGGTTTAGCTGGCTTTGGGGTTTTGAGTCTGTATTGAGATCTAACCTCTTCAATTTATAGGGAATGAGAAGTTGCTGCCTATTTGGTCCAGCCCCTGGTCCTTTGGCACTAGTCTACAGTGCATTTTCATGACCCTTATGAGGCATGAGGCAAACTCAGCCTTGGCATATCAGGAAGAACAATTAGAACAGTTATGTCATCTTGGTTAAAGTAGTACAATCAGTAACAACAACAGCATCAAACACAGCCTAGAAAATGACAAACTGTGGAAACAATTAATTTGCCACCTTTAATTATATGAACTAGGTTTGTGGTTAAATAACAAAATCTAAAACAAACCAGAAAACTGAGTACAATAAATATGCCCTCACAGTATAGTGGTTTTACCCTCAGGGGAAAAAAATTTAAAAGGGTTAGAAGAAAAAAAAATAGAGCAATAGAAGAAGAGGAAGAGATTAGAAGCAAGGCTGGAGGACAAAGGAAGGTCATACAAACTGGGAAACTGGGTAAGGAATACAGGAGGGAAAGAGAGAAAAAAGAAATAAAAGCAAAAACAGGACAGAACAATGACAAAAAACTAGAAACAATGTTTACACTTATCAAAAGAACAATCAAGAAAAAAGAAAAAAAAAAACAAAAAGGAAAAAATAATGTCCATTTCAAGGTGTGTCTCTACTGTCACTGGTAGAGGGAGTAGACAGACAGAGGAGTTTAGATCTATGTTGATTAATCCCAGAAATGCAGCTGTGGATTCACAGCTGGGATGTGACGCAAGCCTACTCTTCCACTGAACTTCCACTGAAGTTCAGGCTGCTTGCTTTGCTTTCCTTTTTTTTTTTTTTTCTCTGTTTTTTTCTTTTTCCTTCCCTTCTCCTCCTTCCCTCCATTCTTTCTTTCTTGCTTACTTACTTGCTTTCTTTTTTTCCTGTTTTTTAAGACAGGGTCTTGCTCTGTAATTCTGTTCAGGCTGCTGTTAAAATCACTATGTAACCCAGGCCAGTTTTGAACTCATGGCGATCCTCCTATCTAAGCCTCCCAAGTGCTGGGATTACAGACATGTGCCACCATACCCAGCCATGCTGGTTTCTGGCTGTGAGGCTAGAACCAATTTGTTGAGCCTGCAACAGTCTGTGTGCCTCCTGTTGGCTTGAACTTGGCTTTTTTGGTGGGGGCTGGGGTATCAAGAACCAGGCCAAGAGTCTTGATTGTCAATATTGGGAACCCAGTCAAGAGTCACAATTGTCAGTCTCAAGAATTTGGCAAGAAAAATAAAAAACAGAAACAAGTATTGTATTCCAACAATGGCTGAGAAGTCAATGTCTCTGGATCCAACCTCCTCACTCCCAAAGCAGTCACTATTTATTAGCTGTATACAGTGATAGGTGGGGCTAGCAAAGGATTACAATTCATCAAGACTCTGACTCCAGAGGGTTTAAATAATCATATGCTTCGAAGTATCTTGACCTGGATATAATCCTAGGATCATTTAAGAAGGCGTACATGATCTTATGCTTAGAAGTTTCTTGTCCCTGAGTATAATCCTGAGATGAATCAAGAAGCCATAGATGATTTTTATGCTTAGAAGAGTCAATGGGAAATCTCAGATAGGTGGTACCAATAATTCCAATTCTTCCTTTTATCCCATAGAGAAATATGTAAAACCAGTCACTGTGAACTTAGTGTCCCCAACACTGGGGTACCAGGAATTGGACTCAAGACCTCATGCTTGCCAAGAAAGCACTGTACCACTGAGCTAAATGTCTTGTCCATGAATTTGGCTTCTTGACTTCCTGCCAATTTGAATTTGGGATGGAGTGTGTGTGCAAGATGGAGCCAATGTGTGGTTACTCGGAGTTCTGAGCTCAATTGCCTCTCTCCAGAATGGTTGCTGGCCAATCGCCCTCCCAAATAACACTGCAGTTCACTGTGTCCACTGCTATGTGCCCTGGTGTGCTTTTCTGTCGAGGCTTCTGGGGTCACCAGTAGTCACATGTATCTGCAGGTTTAAGCCACCCCTCCCATCATGTCAGGGCTCAGGTAGTACCACTTGCCACCTCCTCCTTTTTTGAAGTCTCTTTATTCTCCCTGTGGGCTTCAATTCTTGCCTCGGATCCTTGCTGGGTCCTCAGTACCCACTTCCATCCTTCTGCTCTTCCTCATGTTGCTATATTCCTGTGTCTAGACATCAAATCTTGGAGAGGCTGTTTGTCAGTCTGCCATCTTTCATGAAGTCCCATATTTGGGATCTTGGTCCATCATTTCATTTCCAGGTGAACCACCCCCCCCATTCTCAATGACTTTATTCATGTATATCCTGCTTTTCACAAAGGATTTGAAATGATCCTCAGTGACTTAATTGGCACACTTTTAGTTTGTGAAACCAAGAGGGACTTCTAGGTAGGTGAGACTAGAGATCCAAATGTAGGCCCTATTTTCTAGGGGTGGTAGCACACATCTGTAATCCTAGTATTTGGGAGACTGAGGTAGGAGGACTGCCTATTTTGAGATCAGGCCAGTCTGGGCTACATAGTGAGTTCAAGGCCAGCCCAAACTATGGAGCAAGACCTTTTCTCAAAAAAGTAAAGGCTGGGGATTTAGCTCAGTGGCAGAAGTACTTGCCTGGCAAGTGTGAGGTGTTGAGTTCAATCCCTGGTACTCGCCCCCCCCCAAAAAGTAAAATGCAGGTCCTATTTTCTGTGTATCTAAACTATCCCAGATATCACTTAATGAGTGCCCAGAACAAGGGTTGGCATATTTTTTCCTGTAAAGGACTAGATAGTATGTATGTATTGCACCATCTATGTTGTGGACTTCGTCCTAATTACTCAGCTCTGACACAATTACTCAACACTGCTATTAGAGATCAAAAACAACAGGGGCTGGAGATTTAGCTCAGCGGCATAAGCACCTGCCTTGCAAGCAGGCAGTCATAAGTTCGATCCCTGGTACTGATTAAAAAAAAAAAAAAAACACACAACCAAATACTATACATAAATAAGTAAGCATGATTTTGTTCAATAAACTGTAATTCACAGCCTGGTGTGGTGACATATTGCTATAAACCCAGCACTTTGGGAGGCTGAGGCAGAAGGATCACTAGTTTGAGCCCAAACTAGGCAATTTAGTGATTTAGTAGATCCTGGATCAATCAAGCAATCAAAGATAAAAAATGTACTATCGATGTAGCTCAGCATGAAGGATCTTGGTTCAATCCCCAGTTCAAAACCAAACCAACCAACCAAACAAGTAAAAAGCCTACCATTACCCTCAACAAAAAAAAAAGTCCTAGTTTACAAAAAATGTACTACAGAACTAGATTTGTCTTCTGGCAGTAGCATGTTGACTTTTTGGTTTATGAGGTCAGATCTGCTCTGGGGGTTTTCAAATTTTTAATGTATCTCAGCATTGAATGTGCACCCAAAAAAGAAGATGCTTTTCTGTCTAACTCCAAACCAGAAAATATGGAAAGTAGAGAGGTAGATGCAAGACTTATGGGAAACATGTTAAAAGGGATTCCTGTGCTCAAGATGGGAGGTATTTTTCACACTCTGGAGAGACCAACAAAATCAGCATGCTCTCTAAATAAATTATTTGCATATGTATTTTGTCCTTCCTAATCTTAGTAAAATAATTTTACTAATTTTAGCAAATGAGTTTATCTTTTAAAAGACAATTTGAGGATTGGTGTGATGGTACACTTCTGTAATCCCAGCACTTGGAGAGCTGAGGCAGAAAGATCCCAAGGAATTGAGACTAATCTGGGGTACCAGCCTGTACTACAAACTGAGACTGGTCTCAAAAATAAATAAATATTAAAAAAAGATAACCTGAGAAACCAAATTTTTTTTTTTTTTTGGTCTTTTTCGTTTTTATCGGTACCAAGGATCAAACTCACAACCACCTGCTTGCAAGGCAGGCACTTATGCCGCTGAGCTAAATCCCCAGCCCCGAAAAACCAATTTTTTGTTTCAAGCTCCCTATTCCTAACTCAATATCTTTTTTTTTTTTTTTGGTGCTGGGGATTGAACTCATGACCTCACACTTGCCAGGCGCTTATGCTGCTGAGCTAAATTCCCAGCCCCCCTAATCCAGTATCTTTTTTTTAAACTTTTTATCGGTACCAGGGACCGAACTCACGACTGCCTGCTTGCAAGGCAGGTGCTTATGCTGCTGAGCTATATCCCCAGCCCCCTAATTCAATATCTTTAAAAATAAACTAATCTCCCCAAGGTTCAATACTTTCAATGCTAATAGGGATGCATGTATATATTTTCTTGGTTACTTTTCTCTTGTTGTTGAGACAAAATACCTGACACCCAAAATGAAGGAAGGAAAAGATTTATTTAGCTTACAGTGTTTTGGAGGTTTCAGTCCATATTCAATTGGCTCCAAGGGTGGTGTGGCTGAGGGGAAGCTATTCATGGCAGCCACAAACAGCAGGAGCAAAAGGGCAAAAAGAGGAAAAGACATGCCTTATTCCCTCCCTTATATTGTATGTGAGCTCTGCCCCTGGTGGGTGCAACACTCACATCACCAATCCCAGTGGTAGACAATGAGCCAATCACAAACACTAGATTCAGCTACCTCCATAACTGCATGAGAATTGGGGGGCCACCTAGACAAAAACCGTAACATATATGTATATATAGATATTTAAAACTATAAATGATTGCATGCCTGGGAAACTTCAATATGCCAATTTAACAGGTCATGACCTTGGCCATGGATATAGAAATAATTCTACTTCTCTGGACAATAGATTTATCTGTTACCCAAATTATTCTCTAATTAGGTGAAATGAAAGCAGCAACATGGATATTTGTGTTGGGTTAGGGCAGTATTTTATGACAGCATTTTATGTTGTGACTCTCTACTTGAGCACTGAGAATTACAGGTTTGAAAATGTGCTGGTGTCAGGCGATACCCCATTCTTTTTTTTAGTACTGGGGATCGAACTCATGACCTCATGCTTGCCAGGCAGGTGCTTATGTTGCTGAGGCTAAGTCCCTGGCCACTATATCCCATTCTTAATTCACACCCTTATTGAACCTCATATGCATATGGGAGAGGGGCAAAAGAGAAGGGATGCAGCTAGAATTGGAAAAGGATATCAAAGAGAGTGAGAAAGAACACCCTGACTACAAATTTTTCAATTTTTCAAGAAGGGGACAGAGACTCTCCAATGGAGTTGTAGCAAGAAGAGTTTAGCTGTTTCCTGTTTCTGTCCTCTGTAGTCCTTTTGGCTTCTTTTTTTCCTAGCTTTCCTTCTTTCATCAGATACTGTCTGTGCCAGACTTAGCCCCAAACCACAACCTTGAAAAATTCCAAATGGATTTTGTCAGTAAGGCCAACACCCCTCCTCCTGGCACACGCCTGGGCTCAGGCCCAGGCCTAGGGTCAGGGACAGAATGGGAGCTGGTGGCTACACTTTCAGTTTTTACTAGGCTCTAGTGGCAGCCAGAGAGATGGAAAAAGACTCTAAATCAGGGATCTGGGCCTCCTTCAGCTCTGGATGAGTTCTTCTACCCTTTACCAAATGGCTAGGAAGTTGGGGTGTGGCAATAGGCAGTTAATTGCCAACTGGGCAGCATTTTTCCTTTCTCTGCTCCTGTCTGCTTCATGGGCAGCCCTCTCTGAAGCTACGTAGACATTTTCTTCCCCAGATTCCTGAGGGGTGAAGGACAGAAGAAGGAGAGATCTTCCAGTTGAATTCACCAGTGTTGAGTACGAACCATACTAGGCTGTTACTGTTCCCATCCTTCTGTTACACTTGGAATACCACCGTGAGAGGATGTGAAGTCTTGGGCAGGAACATTCATTAACAGTTTCTATTTCCTTATTGGTCTCCAGGTGTGGTTAGAGGCATTAGGGAAGGAGGAGTTCTATAGCAAATTCTGGTGGTCCTGGGGAGGTATAACCTGGTGCAGTGTTGCTAGGAATTTCTAGGGGAAGGAACGGAGATGGTAATCTCACGAAGGTATCACAGGACCCACTCTAGAATGTAACACTGGAAGTCTTCAGCCTTTAAAAACACAAAGCATAGCCAGGCATGGAGGCCCACACCTGTAATCCCAGAACTTGGGAGTGTGAGGCAGGAGGATCAGAGCAAGTTTGATGCTACCCAGTGAGGTAATTCCTTTTGTCATGAACAAGTTCCTTGTTTTGTTTTTTCTTTAAATCCATCTCATTCCTCACTGTCTTCAATAATTAGAGTCCTACTGACTTTATACTCTAAGTCACATTATCCTTTTTTTATCGGTACCGGGGATCGAACTCACGACCGCCTGCTTGCAAGGCAGGTGCTTATGCCGCTGAGCTAAACCTCCAGCCCTAAGTCACATTATTCTTTAAATAAATATAAGAAAACTGCCTGGAACAAGAGGAAGAGTCTGCTAAGGACACAGACTAGGGTTTGAAGTAGTACACATAATGTGGGTGTCTACCAACCTAGTTCTCCTTGGAAGGAAACAAGCAACAAGGCAGAAAATTCAGGAGACTAGCAATTTTGGCCCAAGCTTTAGGGAAGAGCTACTTTCTCTAATGTCCTTCGAGTGCAGCTTTTATCACAGCTGTGACTATTCCAAGGCAGATTTGTACACGTTCACCAGAGGCAAAAATGAGTGTGGTGGAAACAGGGATTGATAGGTAGGAAGTGAGACACACAGGAGTAAAGCCCTTTGCTTTTCCTAGGGATTCTGAAATCCATATTTATCTAGATATACTTCCTTAGACCACACCTCCAAACATGAAGCTTCAACCAGTTGTCTTTCAAGTTCAGTTGTTTCCTTCAATCTTTTCGATTAATCACTATTCTTTTTCCTCCTTATGGGAAAGGCGCTCTTGATTCAGGCCTTGCTGCAGCTTAGTTTCCGTAGGGTGATGCATCTAGAAATGGAAAAGGATATGAAAGAGAATAATGAGAAAGAAGACTTTGACCACAAATTTGTCACATTCAGGAAGAGAAAGGAGACTCTCCAATGGAGTTGAGGCAGGACCAATTTAGGTTTTTCCCAGATTAAGAAATAAGAACTTGAGCCAGGGATTTAGCTCAGCGGCATAAGCGCCTGCCTTGCTAGCGTGCAGTGGTGAGTTCGACCCCCGGTACCAAAATAAATAAATAAAAACTTAAGTTTGGCAGGATAAGGCAGGCCACATGCAAAGACTGCTTACCTAACGAGTTCCCGGGCCCCATGGCCCAAACCCAGTTTCCAGCAAGAGACTTCAATTCTAAGCATGAATCTGGGGCTTGTGAGTCTCACCTCAGTCTCCGCTATCCTATCCCCATTCCTCTGCTCCAGGGTCGCACTTATGTGGCCCGCAGCCCTCTGTGCTCAATCTTCACACTTCACCCACCCCCACCCAGACTTGAGCGCCAGGGCTCCGTTGCTTCTGCAGCAGCTGCTACCATGGTGATGGGTCTCGCGAGAACTGCTACTCGCTACCGCGCAACTCTCGCGCGATCGTGGAGGTGGGAAGTATCCCTAGCTGGGGGTGGGGGTATGCCGCACAGCTCCAGTCGCTGTCGCGGCTTCCGGTGCTAGGTGGAGGGAAGGAAGGAGGGAGTCTGAGAGCGGGCCGGGGGAGCAGCCACGGTGAAGTCGGCTTGGAGAGCCAGAGAGAGCGGAGTGAGAGGCAAGTGGAACTTGCGGGGGAGGAGGCAGTGGTAGCAGCGGCGGAGCTGGGAGCAGGAACAGGTGAGGGGTTGGGGAGGGTAGGCGGGTCCTTGTAGAGAGAAGAGGCTTGGTCAGAGCGGGGTCTTAGGAGATAGAGGCCCCCCCCACCGGACACCACCCGGCATGGGCAGTGTGTTCCTTCCCGGCTGGCAGCTCGGAGAGGGGGCGTTAGCCTGCCCCCGCGTTTGAAGGACGCTGAGCTGGGGTGGGGGCGGGGGCGCACACGGATTTGTCCTCTGCCTCGCACAAGGGGGCGACCAGGGCTGCGGTTAGGTTCTCCTCACTAGCAGGAGGTGGGCTTTGGAGCGGTTGGGGTAGTGGGGGAGAAACGCCATCTAGGAAGAGGTGCTGCGGGGGCGGTGTGGCTGTATCTTTTTTCTTTTAAAGGGCTAGGCCAGGGAAACCTGCTTTCTCCTCCCTCCCCTTCCCCCACCTTAGCTATAGAAGACTGGAGAAACCCTTGCTGTGGATACGCTCTGTTCCCCCTCCACCATGGGGCAGAGGTGCACAGGGTCTCTGGAGGTTAGCAACAGGGCAGGCGAATGGGCGCCCCAGGGCCACTGTGTTAGTGAAGGTCGCGTTGTGGGGTCTTGGGAAAAGGCAGGTTGGGCAGAGGGCAGCAGGTGGGGAGGGGGTGGAGAAGAGGCCGGAGGAGGGGGAGGGGGATCTGAGCTCGCCTAGAGAAGAGGTGGGGCTTTCCTCCCCCGGGCATAGCGGTGGGCGGTCTCATAGGAGGGAGAAGCATCTCTTGTCACTGGCCCTGAGTTTGTGCCTTCCAATCCGCTTTCTTCTTTAGGAAGTACCAGGATTCCCGGAACAGAAAATGGAGCCATTGCTTACGCCAATCGTTTGAGGGCCGGAGGGGAGGTGGGAGGTGAAGTTTCCTGCTAAAAATGGGCCACTTGGTTAGCTAAGTGATAACTCGTTTTGGGGGGAGTTCCTTTCTTTCTGGATTGTGTTACTGCCAATTTCCTCAACCCAGAAGTGTGGTAGTGAAGGTGAAAGAGTGTGTTATGTGGTCAGGAGGGGGAAGAGATAGTGAGGTTATCGAGATGAGGGAGAAGTGTAATGTAAAACCTGTCTCTGAGGCTGTTGGGTTGAATCCCTCCTGCTCAATGGCATGAAAGTTTTATTGGGAGGAGATCTGCTACAGAGACTGAGTGCGTGATAACAGGACAGAATCTAGTCTGCTTACCTTCTTCCTTGTCCCCGGCCAGGTAGATGGCCACAGACTTCGCTGTCTGCCATTTTGTTTCAGGTTTGTTGTTGGGGACAGAAACCACACTTAGTGTGACTGGCACTGGCCAGTGGGTTGGTCCTTATGTACTGGACCTAAATTTGATTAAGGTGTTTAAAAAGCTCATAAGAAGGAAGGAACTGAACCACTGAGTTTCATTTTTGGTAATGATAGGGATGGGACGTAGGGCTGCAAGCTTGTTAGGCAAGCCCTACCACTGAGTTACACTCTAAGCCCAGTCAAAACTTTTGTATGAATATGATTTGCTTTTCTCTAAGAAGACTACAAGTTTTAGGGATTGCAAGAATTCGATCTCCCCTCATGTAAGTTATAATATGCACATAGCAAGTATTTGTGAACACAGGGCATAAAAGTCTTTGGTACTGCAATTTAGGAAAGGAAAGGAAATGGCTAGGCTGTTAGTGGAAGCGCCTGGAAATAGCTGAAGACTGTAATAGGTTTTCCCACCTTTGTTCTTGGTCGTGTGTGTGTGTGTGTGTGTGTGTGTGTGTGTGTGAGAGAGAGAGAGAGAGACTGAGAATTGAACCCAAGGCCCTTGCATGAGCTACGTCTCCAACTCTTTAACTAAAAAAAAAATTTTTTTTTGTCTTTTTCATTTTTATCTGTACCAGGGATCGAACTCACGACTGCCTGCTTGCAAGGCAGGCGCTTATGCCGCTGAGCTAAATTCCCAGTCCCTTAACTAAAAATTTTTAATTAAAAAGTTAAAATTAAAAAATTTTAATTGAAAATTTAAACATTTTTTTCAAATCTTTTAAAGAGAAAAAAATAAGGCAAAAAATTTTTTAAATTGTGAGACAAGGTCTTGGTATGTCATTAAGTTGCCTGGGGTAGACAATGTTGCAATCAGCATTAGCCTTCAAAAGTGCTGGGATTGTGTGTTGTGTGGTCTTCCCAATAGGGATTGAATGCTGAAACTTCGTATTGAGTTACATGCCAAGGTTTTTTTTTTATATATTTTACTTTGAGATAGGGTCTTGGCTGAATCATTAAATTGCCCAGGCTGGGCTTGATTTTTTTTTTTTTGTACCAGAATTCAAACTCATGACCGGGTGCTTGCCAGGCAGGCGCTTATGCCACTGAACTAAATCCCCAGCCCTGGGCTTGATTTTTTGTTGTTGCTGAGACAGGGTTTCACTATGTAGTTCATAATGGCCTTGAACTTAAGGCAGTCCTCCTGCTTTAGACTCCCAAATGTTGGAATTGCAACACCAATCCTACCCACTGTAGGGTTTGAATTTTTGATTTTCTTGCCTCAGCCTCCTGAGTGCTGAGATTATAGATGTATGCCACCACACCCAGTTTTACATCTTTGTAAGAAGCAGAAAACAAACATAAAAAATGGAAACTAGGACCTCCCTAAAAGGAAGTTGTTATTTATCTGAAATTCCAGATTTCCTGCTCCCCTGTTGTGGAAGAAGGGGTCTCTCTGTCAGACCTATGTTGTTTTTGGGGAGTGGGAGCAGGAGGGTTGAGACAAGATCTCACTGTTAGTTTAGCCTGGCCTCAAACTCATTCCTCAGCAATCCTCATGCCTCAGCCTACCTAGTGTTGAGGTTACAGGCATGAACCACTATGGCTGGCCAGAGCTAAATTCTTTTTTTTTTTTTTGTCTTTTTCCTATTTACCTGTACCAGGGATTGAACTCACAACTGCCTCCTTGCAAGGCAGAGCTAAATTCTTTAAAGTGTTGTCAATGAGTTGGGATCCTAGAAGTTACAGAGGAGGGGCTGATGTATGTTTATAATGCCTGGCAGGTTGGTACCAGTGAGAGATGGCTGCCGGTTTATTTACTGCATGTGTGAAGAAGAACGGGCTGGGAATGGAGGTACATATCTGTAATCCCAGCACTCTTGGAGGACTGCAAATTCACTCCCTGCCTGGGTGATTTAGTAAAACCTTATATTAAACTAAAAAATTCAACCAAGTATAGTGGCACACACCTGTAATCCCAGCACTTGGAAGGCTGAGGCAGGAGAATCTCAGTGAATATCAGGCCAGCCTGGATTAGGTGGTGAGACCCTGTGTCAAAAAAACAAAACAAAAAAACCAGATATTGTGGTATAACCCTATAATCTTAGCATGCAGGAGGCCAAGACAGGAAGACTGCCACAAATTTGCTACCAGGCTGAGCTACATATTGAGACCTTATCTCAAAAAAACAGCAAACAACAAAGATACAAATCAAGACCCTGAGTTGAGTCACCACCCAGGCCCCCGCCCCAAAAGAAAAGTAGACCGCAGACTGCAAAGAGTGGAAGTGTTGTTGACTTTTTTTTTCTTTTTTGACAGAGTTTTGCTATGTAGTTCAGGCTGCCTTTGAACTCACTACGTAGTCCAGGCTGGCCTTGAACTTGTGGCAATCCTCCTGTCTCAGCATCTTGAGTGATGGGATTATAAGTTTGCATCACCATACCTGGCAAGTGAAGTCTTTTTTTTTTTTTCATTCAATTGGCACATTTTAAATACACATAATGGTCACATTCATTATAGGGAATTTTTACATGATATATCTTGATTCTTTTTTTCCCCATTCTGGTACCCTCCTATTAGTCCCTCTTCCTCTCCTTATTTACAAGAGCTTTATTTAATTTTTCCTTTTTTTTTTGTCTTTTTGAGACAGGGTCTCGCTATGTAATTCAGGATGGCTGTGAGCTCACTTTGTGGACCAGGCTGGTCTCCAACTTGCAAAAATCTGCCTGCCTCAGTGTCCCAAGTGCTGGAATTACAGGCGTGTGCTACCATGCCTGGCTCATTTTTCCCTTCTATCATGCTTTTTTTTTTTTCCTTTTCCCTTTTTTCCCCCCTTCACTTCCTTGTTCTCTTTCCTATTTTAATATTTTCTACTTCATGATATCTGGTATGCATTTGGTTCTTATTTACACTTTTGATTTCTTATACCAGAGAAACTGATATTTACACATACGTGTCTGATCTCTTTCTTTCTTTTCTTTTCTTTTTTTTTTTTTTTTTTTTTTTTGAGACAGGGTCTCCCTACACAGTTCAGGCCGGCCTTGAGCTTTGTATGTAGCCTAGGCTGGTCTTGAACTCATAATGATCCTCCTGCCTTTAGCTTCCCGAGTGCTGGGATGATAGTCATAAACCACCACACCCTGCTTGATTTATTTCACTTGAATGTGTTCTTAAGGTGTATCTATCTAGAAGTGTCTCAATTTTTTTTTAATTTTTTTTTTTTTTATTGTCTTTTTCCTTTTTATCGTTACCGGAGATCGAACTCATGACCGCCTGCTTGCAAGGCAGGTGCTTATGCCGCTGAGCTAAATCCCCAGCCCCGAAGTGTCTCAATTTTGTCCTTTATGACAGAGTAGTACTCCATTGTGTAAAAGAACCACATCTTTATCCATTCATTAATTGACAAACATTTGGACTGTATCCAAGATTTAGTTATTAGCTACTGTTAAGCAACTGAAATCTTAAATGCAGAGAGTTAATGTTGAAGTCTGTGTTTATCTGCCCTGTACTCCTTTCACTAAGTTATAATAAGAAATGGATAGAGAATAGAGGACAGAAGGTAGGATTTATAGGTTAGAAGGAAGAAATTTTATTTTGTTTGCTTATTTGCTTAGAGATAGAGTCTCTGTATAGTACGGGCTGGCCTTGAACTGGCTATGTGGTTCAGGTTGCCCTCAAACTTGCAGTGATCCTCTATCGTAGCCTCCCAAATTCTGGTATTACAGGCTTGTGCCTCCATGCTGAGCTAGAAGGAAGAGTTTTTAAAACTGGGTTGTTAGAGCTGTTCATG